CCCTAGCCTGCAGCTATTGCCTTGAAGATCAAGTCCCAGATTCTCACAGATAATTAGGCCTAGTATAACTTTAGTACTTACTGGCAAAACTGAATGTATGCTCTCTCCTGCCAAGCAGGGTAAGGCTTTTGCCACTATACAGCTGTTGGCAGGTACATATAGACACTCCTGTGCCTTCTGCTGGCTTTAGGACACACTTTGGAAGGACCAGTTTTCTAATTCAGTTTAGGTATCCCTCACATGACCCAAATCACATGAAGTCCTTACCTTGACCATAGGAACTATTAAATGTTATATGCATTTCCTATAGTAGGTTAAATGAAACCATGTGGTACTCTTACAGCTTGCTCATGTGGAAGTCAGAGCCCTAGAGAGTGGCTGATCCAGTACCAAAAGCAGCAGCATTCAGTTAGTCTCTCTCATTTCTTACCTGTGCTGCATGTTGATGTGGTTCCAACTGACAAAGTGAAGTACAATGGTACACAGGTTCACAACCTTTTAAAGGATCGCCTTTTCATCCTGAAATTTCCTGTTAAAAACATGCTTTGCACGTTCAACCTGGAGACCACTGCAAACACGGCTGAGCAAACTTCACAAGCTCTTCAAGCTGAGGCATAATAAGCCTGACCTCTGAGGGGACAGGGACAGCTGACTTAGTTTAAGTGACTTACTTGAGTCAGTAGCAGGATTCTGGCCTGCATTTGTACCAAACTGGGCATTTAGTCTTATAAATGTATTATGGCAGTTCCTAGGACACTATCAAGTGAGGAACATGCACTCTAAGTACTGCACTGGGCAGCTGTAGCCTCAAGTGTTAATACTCCTGTGTTGCAGACACCTTAACAGCTTTCCCCATGTTCCTTTCTTTCAGTTCTTTGCCTGTGTCATGATGATTGCCTATGGAGCCAGCACTTTCCTCAGCTACCAAGCATGGAAAGGAGTTGGCAGCAACGCAGCAACCAGTCAAGTGACTAACCATGCATAAAAACTGTGGGCTTCTAAGTCTGTTTACAACCATACAGGGGTACATTGGCTCAGTGAATTTCTAACAAGCTCTGGAGCTTCTCAAACCAACACTGGGTCTCTAATTTAAACCAAACCTATGCAACAGAGACTGCAGTCATTCAAGGCTCATAGCTGTTTGGTGGCCTATGTGAAGGCTCTTTTGTGGTCTTTAATGAAGCTGACAGTTGATAAAAACCCAGCTGTAATTGGCAACCTTGTTGGCAGTCCCTGGAGAAACCAAGGATGGACTCTGGAGACTGACTTTCCCTCTTGTCCTTGGAGCAGATTGTCAAGTGCGAGAGCAGCACAATGGGAGGTGATACAACAAAGACAGACCAAGAACCAAGTCTGTTGAGGTCAATCCAGCAAATTTCACCAGCACTAAATTCACTAAAACACACCAAGCCCTGTTCCCGAGTGATTGCAGCTACAATGTAAAAAAAAAAAAAAAAAAAAA